GCCCGCGGGCCTAATTTCATGTCCAAGCCCGACCGGGGTACGGGCCGGGTTGTCGAGTTATCCGGCCCATAAATAGGTCTAGTTACCAATTTCCAGACGGGGTTTATCTCTATCTAGTTACCAAAAGAAAAAAAAAAAAAAAAATCATTTTAAACCTCATACATTGAAACTTTGTGCTGGTATTATAGAATTGAAGCAAGTGTAGAAAAGAAAAAAAGAGGGAAAATAACTAGAATAGTAGGAATTTTCATCAATTTGTACTGGTATTATCGATACATCATACAGGACATTGTTTCGTGGGGTCTAATTTTTTGTCTGGAAGGATTTTTCACCAATTTGTCTCAGCTAGAATAGGTAGAAATGTACTTAATTTCATATCGACGACGATTAGATAAATTCGTTATGCTTTGATAGGAAGAAAACTGAAAAAGTTCACTAGAACCCAGAAAGTTCACCGAATCACTGGTGTTCAATTTTTCATTTATGATTTATCGCGACCCAAATCATTAATCAACACCACCTTATCGATTTTATAACTAATCCAATCCAATGACAAGGTAATGAAATGAAAAAAAAAAAAAAGTGAACCGCATTGCGGTTGTGGTAGGGTCTACACACCATAGTACCTACTTGCATCGATCTGTTCAACTAGGATTGGAATTGGATTCCCCAACTTCCAGTCATGATCTGATTTATTAGTCATCCAATGTGTCTTTTCTCTGTTCGATCATTTACTTATTTTTTATATTTTATCATTCACCTAAGAAACAAGTGTTGAGTGACGATCACCCATCAAACAGTTTTAATTTAACTGGTAATCCAATGTAGGCTCCATACCATTACCAGATCCAAAAGAAGACAATTGACCCAACTCAGAAGAAAAGACTAGCAAATGGGTGACAAGTTACTTGACTCCTCCATATATTTTCATTTATCATTAGAATTGATTTGAATAGAACGCCCACCATGGGCCAATAGGCAATAGTAGTGGAATTCATTATGACCAACAGGATTCATGAAGCTAACCCTAGTTGGGGTAAAATTTGGATGGTGATAATGATGATGATTATAATGCTTTTTCAAAGCATGATCAAGACAAACATAATTTCTGAAATTGGTTCATCAATTTTTTTTCCTTCTATATTTTGAAGCAGTTAGGATGTGTTTGAGAAGAGTCTGGTCTTTGCCCCATCTGTTAGACTATTGATCCGCATGTAGGAAGATAATCAGAACAATAACAAAAATAACTAGGATTTAGACAGACGTGGGTGACCTTGATTCTACAGAAACGAGGGGTTCCCATCTCTTCTTGAGCTTAAATCATATTCTCGTGATTCTTGAAAAGGTCAAATTATACCCTTAACACTAAACAGGGCCTCGGCAACAGAATTTAGCACCAATGACAGACAAACTCTTACGATTTTGACCTCTATATACAGATAAACAGGGCTCAATACGCACTTTTTTTTTTTAAGTAAACCGGCCCCTACAAGCACGGAAGTACCTACGTTTAAATTTGATTTAGACATTTTAAATTCTTCAATTTATATCTTATCATGTAAAATTCTAATAACAATTAAGCTATATATTGCACAAAAACAACAAGGGTAAATTACAAAGACTCCCCTTACTATGGGGTCTGTGACAAAGACCCCCCTTGTACTTTGTTTTGCAACAAAGACCCCCCTGTACTATGACCATGAGATAAAGACCCCCTTCTGTTCAAAAAGGCCGTTGCAATACTTTTTAATCCCCATCCTTTTAATAGCTATTCGACGATAAAAACACTGTTCATCTTCCCCAACCTCACGATACACAAACAGCGGCAGCGATAATCCCCTCTATCTCAGATTCCTTCACATTTCTCTCCCTCTCCCTCTCTCTCCCCTGATCTCTCTTCTTCCCCCTCCCCTTTCTCTCCTCTTTCTTCTTCCACGCGGTCCATGCCTTGTCACTCTCCTCTTCATCTCAAGGTTGAAGGCGATGAACAGGGTACAAGACGATGAACTTGTATTACAGGGTACAAGTATCTTCTTAGCCGAGAACCACCCAATTCATATCCATGGATATGATTTCTACATCGTTGCAGAGGGCTTTGGGAATTTGAATCCTCAAACTGACATGGCTAAGTTCGATCTTGTCGATCCACCAATGAGGAATACTGTTGCAGTTCCAGTGAATGGATGGGCAATGATCCAATTTGTTGCTGATAATCTAGGTAAAGGTTGTTTTGAGGCTCCTGAGTTTGCTTGCCCTTCACATTGTTTCCTTTCTACGGGTGAAAGTTACAGAAGCCTTCGGTTGTGGCTCCATCTGGCAGAAACTACAGAAGGTAAAAGCTTGCCAGAAGTTGAGAAGAAAAAGGAACAGAGCCTTCCCTTTTACCAGCTCTTCTCATTTGCGGACAAGTATGATTGGGTTCTGATTATAGCAGGAAGCATAGGAGCTATGGTTCATGGCTCTGCCATGCTTATTTTCTTCAAGGTTCAAAGTATTGACACATATCAGCCTGTATCGGCCGATACGCATCATTTCGGGACCCTTCCGATACGCCCCTATAGTGAGTGTATCAGGGGTCTGATCGGTTCAGGGGGTGAAGGAGCCCTAAACCGGCCACCCTCAACCGGTTTCGAAAAAAAAAAAGTCACAAAAATGTATATTGATTTGCCTGATACGCCCTTATCGACATATCGGGCACATCAATATTTTGAACCTTCGTTTTCTTCTTTCTATTCGGAGATATGGTGAATGGGTTTGGAAAAAACCAATCGGATTTGAAGAAAATGACTGAAGAAGTCGCCAAGGTTTGATTCCCCCAAGATTTTCAAAATCTTCATTTCATCATTCTAGATATTTAATTTAAATTAAATTAAAATGGTATTCATTACTCGATCATTTCATATCTCTATTTGTATTCTTCTCATTTTTGTTATTTTTTTGGGTGAAATGCAGTATGCTCTGTATTTTGTCTACCTGGGAGGCTAGGACTAGTCGTATGCTTATCGTCCTACGCATGTGAGTCAAACACAACTCGATCTCTGTTTCTCTCTGCTTCTCTTTTTTATTTCTCTCTAGATCTCTAGTTCAAACTTCTGTTTGTTGGGTTAAAGTTCAAGTTGTTTCACTAGTAAGGTGCTCAACGTTTACTAGCCTCACGATCCCATTCCCATATGGGGATTACCGTTGTTTGTGTATCGTAAGGTCATGGAAGATGAACAGTATTTTTCTCATCCGAATAGTTATTACAAGGGTAATATGGGGATTAAAAAATATTACAACGGCATTTTTGGACGGAAGGGGGTCATTGTTTCATAGTCATAATAGAGGGGGGTCTTTGTAATTTACCCAAAAAACAAAGAAAAAAGATAAAAAAAGGTCTAAAGATTGAACATGAATCATGGAAAACTGAGTAAAGACCACTAGATTTGCATAGAGGATAAGAGGAATGCCAAATTTAACTTGAACACAATGTTTTAAAATGTGGAGGTGTGACATGAGCCATTTCATTACTTAGAGGCGTAAGGTAAGGCATAGTTCAAAAGGTAAGAGGTGTAAACCTCCCAAGCACAAGCCTCTAAGAGGAGGGCGGAGAAGAAAAAAGAGGAAAAATTCTCTCTCTAGCGGGGCAAAGGGGGTTTCAAGGGCCCTAGCCCCGGACCCAAATTTTCTTTCCCCTTCCCTTTTCCTTTTCCTTTTGTCTTCTTTCTTTTTTTTACTCTTTCTTTCTCTTTTCCTTGCCTTTGTTTTCTTTTTTTTATCTTTCTTTTGCCTTCTTGTATACGAGGCATGCATTTCATGGCAATGGAACTATTGACCCACCACCCAAAAGGAAATGCAGTTCCAATCAGTTTTTAAAACATCAGTTTTTATAGTGTTTTTCAACAGTCAAGTTCGCTGATCAAATAGATCAACCTATCATCCAATTCCAACCAGATTCCAAGTCAATTTCACCAACTACTTTTGCTTGTGAAAAAGATCACAGGTTGGATATTAATTCTGCTTTTTTTTTTACTATATTACGATCCATTTGTCCCATGTTGGTATTATGGGATGCTAATGCGAGGTATCCCACATCGGTAGTATGGGATGCTGTTGTGGGGTATATATGTGTTTGAATTCCCTCCCTCTAACAGCTAGCTTTTAGGGGTGAATTCTCCTAAAAGCACATAACATACTATTTTTGTGTTTCATTTCCATCATTAACAATTATAACACATATATTTGTTTAATATGAGGAATATATAATATTAGAAATGAGAGAAATTTTTTTCTATAGTTTTTTTGCAAAGGAATCAAATGGATATGTTGCTAAACACAACTAACAGACCAATTTTAAGAAAAATTTAGTAACCTAATAAAAGTGGATTCTGCAGACAGCTTGAAAATGTCCTCACTCAAAACAGAAGATAATTGTTTATCTGGTGAACATTGTGGTTAGGATTTTGCTGCGAGATCTACAATGGACTTTGAGTAGCAGCCCCCTTTTACCATTTTCCTTTTCTTTTTTATGGAGTCGTTGTACAACTGGAGGCCCACTGAAAGTGTAGTTTTAACAGCAATAATGAACAATAAAAAGAGATTTGGTATTCCCCATAATTGTTCTGAAACCCTGACTCGAAATTAAAAAGTTGATTTCTGCACATACATACAGTTGACATGTTGGATCAAAGTAACAAGTGATATGTTGATGAATGAAGAATCCAGTTGTAACCTATAAATATGATTGGCAAAATCATATCTACTTTCTAACAAGATCACCAGTAAAACTCATTGTTGTGAACTTGACACAAGTAATGCAACAAAGAAACACTTCATTCAAACCTTACTGTATGACATCCTAGTAAATAGGTTGTCGGTCACTCGGTCTCAATGGAGAAATTTAATTGGTTCTGCAATAAATATATTTTACGAGGAAAAATTATTCTATTGCCACAGACTTGATGGTGACAACTCAACTTCGCATCCATTATAAATAGAACAGTCTTGAAGAAAAACAATTCTTTGGAATTAATGCAAGTTGAAGTTGAAATTGATAAAAAGTAAGCATTTGTAAAGTAATCAAACATCGACTTGAAGTTTTCTTTTTTTTTAATGAATAACAGATCAATTTTAGTAATGGAGAATAATTCATATTACAAGAAATCAGTTACCCCAAAGTTCACTTTAGCTGGAATCCCATCCCCTCAAAACAGATGCCTTGAAGTTGAGAATGGTCAAAGACAGTTATAACTAAACAAAGAAAATATAATTTGTGCTTGCAATAAAGTTATTAGTCTATGGCAATTTTGTGTTCATGAATTCTGAGTATGTTTGGACAGTGCTCATTTTTAGCACAATGAAGATTTCAACATACAAAATTGGCTAAATACCACTACTGCATGAAACAAACTTAGCTCCCATCTAGATTGAATATTGGATGTTTGTCGATGGGCTTCAATCCGTATCCTTATTCTGGTCACACAATTGATTGAAGATTCATTTGATTTAAACCCCAACTCCAAAATTTTCTTTCAAGATGAAAATTTCCTGAATAATTGAGAGGTTCAGAATGCTAATATTATATGCATTTTGCAGAAGTCCCAATCAGGGATGTGAATCTAGGTATTTCCTAAGCTTCTAATGTAATATGAACCAAAACTGTATGTAGAATTGTGCCTTGAATTCCAGTCAGTGGCTTGTTCCATGATCCGAGGAAGAACCCGAATGGGAATTTTCATTGAGGTCTGTATATATAGATATATATATGTTATGTTTGTAGGGTTTTAGCTGAGGATCTAATCTTTGTAACTGCCGCACATACAGAGAGAGTATTGGGTGTTAAGGTTTTGTGTGAGGCTACTCAACCTTGCACTCCATTTTTCCTGATTTAGTGGATTTCTGCTCATCACGCCAAAGGCCAAACCATGTAAATATGTTTGTTGTTTTGTTCTTCTGTTCTCTGTAGATTTGTTCATGGGCTGGGCTCAGGCTTAGCTTTTGCCAAACTTTGAATGGGTCCAACCTGAAGTCCGAGCCTGAAACAATGTAAAGCTGAGTCTAAAGCCTGGCCTGTGAACAGTATCTCTGTTTTGCTTCATTTTTGTGCCATTTTGGACATGTTTGATTCTGGGTTTGTCTAACACTATATGATCTAAAACTATTTGAGCAAAAGCATGGATAACAACTGCCAGAAGAAGGGCTGCACATGGTGTTCATTGGTCCAAACCAGAATTCAAATCCAATCTGATTAACCCAATTTGATCCATTTATAATTGAATCAAATATGTATCTACCCCAATCAGATCCAACTTGGTCCAAACCTGACAGTATATAAAAAATGCATATAACTACATAGAATTAAGATGTATCTATTTATAAAGTTGGTTTGAATGTTGTGTTTACTAAAGAGCCATAGATAAGTTCTTATAGAAGTTTTAAGCCATTTTATTCATCATATATAACAGCAAAGTTATTTCCAATTCATTTAATTAATAATAAATAAAATTCGGATCTTTTTTTTATTTGATTTAAAACTGGTATGCAATATCCAAATCTGATTTTAACCTGATGGATAAGATTCTATTTAAATCTGAAATTAACTGATCAAATTTGGATATAGGAGTATCCAATTTGAGTCCAGTCCATTTGCAGCCCAAGCCAGTAAGTATTTAGAGAGCCACAAACCTGTTAATTATTTCCAGATTGATGATTGATGATTGTGGTGTTTTCCCTTCATCTCACTACAGTCATGTTTTGGGTAAAATACTTAAACATACCCTAAGTTTTCACAAATCGACTTAAATATACTCTGAGTTTTTCAAATAGACTTAAATATACCTTGTGGGTTGACCCCATTGAACTTAAACAATATACTTCCTTTGAACCTCTTTTTGTTGAACCTCTTTTAATATTTTAAAAATCCTATTTTATCCTTTGAAAACAATAGAATCTTTTAAAACAATATACTTCCTTTCTTGCCCTGTTTTTGCAATCACAACAAAACTTGATTGCTCAAGGATCTTGCTCTGTTTTTATTAACCTAACTTCTCTTTTACAATCATACTAGTTGTCTGAGGTTTCCTATTTGACTTAAATATGAGTACATATAAAGAGCTTGTCCATGAAGAACAAATTGGAAATGGTGAGGGAGAGGAAACCGAGATTTAGACCACTGAAAAATTACTCCCAAAACCAATCTCTATAGGACCCTTTTTCCTGGTACCTAAGGTAGAAAGCTTATGTGTTGGGAGGTTTCTTTACCAAAGAATGTAATCTCACAAAGGGGAGAGACAGAAATTTGTTGTTACCATGAACGGAAATTTAAAGCTCTCATTGTCTGCACAAAACCTTCTTGATGTTCTTTGTTCTCCTTTGAAACTCCAAAACATCCTCTCACTCATCAGCAATGGATTCCATTTGTTGGCATGTTGATGAAGCTCTTGTCTTCAAGGTTAATTTGTTAGCCCCTACTTCAAACAATTTCACCCTTAGGATTGTTGTTAGAATCACTGAAAACTCAGTGGTCACCATTACTTTGGGCCATGTTCCCAGACTGGGTTTCTCTATGATTGGTCAACCTCTTCTAAGATTCCTAGTGTGGAGAATCCCAATATGGTTAGAGGTGAGAAGGAAGAGGGTGGGGTTGTGATTAGGAAGAGGGTGGGGTCAACCTCTTCTAAGATTCCTAGTGTGGAGAATCCCAATAAGCACTTATTGGCGTTTGGGAAATAAGCCTGAAACAAGTGCTTATTCAAGAAGCCCAAAATCTGGGCTTATTTTTAAGTGTTTATTCAATAAGCACTTATTTCCTTTCTGGTTTGTCTTGGCCAGCTACTTTATTTTGAAAATACCTATACTTACCCTATTTGAAATAAGTGTTTTTTCACCAAACACTTATGAGCACTTATTTTTCAAATAGCATTCCCAAGCTTAGCCTAAACCATCTTAGTCTACTTGCTCTCATTCTATCACATATTAGAGCTACTCTTAGGTTCCTTCAAATGACTTCATTTCTGACTCTGTCCCTTCTAGTTTTTCCACTCATCCATCTCAACATACAAAATTTTTCCACATGCATTTGTGAATATGTTATTTCTTGACTGCCCAATACTCTGCTCCACACAGCATTGCTGGCCTTACAATTGTTTTATAGAACTTTCCTTTTAATCTGAATAGTGTTCGCCTATCACATAAGACTCTGGATGCACTTCTCTTTTTTTCCATCCTTCTTTAATTCTATGGGTGAAATCTTCCTCAATCTCTTGTTATGAAATATTGAACCAGGAGTATACTGTCTACCAAGTCATATGGAACTCTGTTATTCCACCCTCTATGGAGCATACTGTCTACCAGGTCATATGCCTTGGAAATTTCTTCGGCTTATTTCACATGATGAATAAAAGCATGGTATAAAAAGAAAGCTAGAAAATTTCTTCTTGTGTTTATAAGAGGACAAGAAAAATTGCTACCACACTAAAACTTGAAACCACCTTTATAACATCTACATACTATTCATCATAATTGCCTATATATCTCCCTCAGCATAATTTTCACACAGCCTACTTCTGTAAAGTCAACTGAACTGAACCTAGTCCTCTAAACTGCTACAATTAAATGCTACTTACATGGTGACCACATATAGGAAACTTCGTAAACCATACATATGATTTGTACTAAACTATATACTACAAATAGGACTATTAACATCAATAAGATTCCCATCTTTCATACAGAAACAACTATTCCAGTTGTATGGAATTTGTGTTAGTATATATTAAATACATGCAACAAGCAAGTTTTACTTGATCTCCCAGCTTTTAGATATGGAAATTTCTGAAAATATTGTATAGATTTTTTTTTTGTTTTATTTTTCAATTTTTTTAGAGATAAATTACTGATTTTTTTACAGATAAATTACAGATAAATTGCAGACATTCTTGCAAATGAAGGTTTGTCTAACATGTATTTGCAAATGAGGCTTGTTTAAAATTAGAAAAATGTTAGTTAAGAAATCTCAAAATATGTTCCCTCCAAGATTCTTTGTTTTTAGGGAACATATTGCTAATATGACGCCCATAGTTCAAATAGAAATTAACAGTTAGTTCTACTTATTGAATGAACAACATCACACTTGACATGAAATTTTATCTTCAGGCTACTTGGAATATAAGAGGACAGGACAGATGAAGCAGTAACCACCCTAAGTATGCACATGTTAAAAAAAATACTGCAAAGGATGACTTACCATGCAATAGTATCCCAATGCAGGAAACCTCCATGACCTCTAGCATTATTGAACTTATAAACAGCGCCAGAAACTAGAGATAAAAAAGTCAACAAGCATTACCATTAATAATGATGCAATTCAATAACTCAAAATCTTAATATTATAGATGGCATACAAACTTGAGTACTAAATAATCATGAGAAAACATGGACAATAAAACAATAAAAAGAATAAGAAAACAATCTTCAAGAGAGAACATACCTTCATATCCACCAACCACTGGATCCTCTGAGAGCAAAAGGGGTGTATCCAGATCAACAAATCTGCAGAACAATTAACCATCAAGGGTAAACAAATCAAATAGGAAATTTTGAAGGGCTGCTCTTTTCTAGACTCATAAGAAAGAAATAGAGGGAGGGAATAGAGAGACAACCAAAAGGCATTGACCACTACAATATCTGCTAAAAGTAATGAATAATAAACAAGAGCCACACTTACTTGAAACATCCAAGCCCTGAAGCCAGATGACCAGCAAAGCCCATGGCAAGTCTAGTTTCAACCATCCCACCAATCATCAGATTCAAGCCTGATTTTTTTGCTGCCTCAATAATTTCAAGGGCCCCCATAACTCCAACTTTGGCAAGTTTAATGTTTATGACATCAGCAAGATTTCCTTCTATAATTTTCTGTATGTCGAGAAAACTCCGGCAGCTTTCATCTGCAGCAACAGATATCCCATACCCCTTTGCAACATGATTAACATGGCCAAGACCTTCCCAATCATCTCTATGAACTGGTTGTTCAAAAAGAACAGGAATCACCCCCATTTCTGCCACAGAATCAGTGTTAGAAAACTAACAGAAGATAAAGATTATATGTTTGTTTGTAAAGTCTTGGTAGGCAATAATGATCTGTTTTGTGCTCTGTTAAAATGCTCAAAATATATGCAGTAATGATCTAACTTTTCTTTGTACCATTGAGGGTGTGAAGTAGATTTAATGAAAGAGATGTATCCAAAGTTCAGTTTTGTTTTTAAAAGTCACAGACAACCAACTCAGAAAGTCTCGGCATCTCAACATGCACAAATGGTCATACATGCCATAGAGTGCAGAAACACCCTTACCACATAACTTCACAAGAACTTGAATAGCTTCATTGGCAGTATATCCTTCATTAGCATCCAAGATAAACATGCAATCTGGGTGGGCCACCCTTATGGCTTTAAGAACTTCTATATCTGCATTCAGATTATTTCCAACCTTAAGCTTCAAAGTGTTGAAACCTTGCTTGTAATACATTGAAGCCAATTCAGAAGCTTTTGAAGGAGAAACAATTGGAATCTGCATATATAGCATGCTAGATAAACTCAGTCCTTGAAGCAATACACAGTTAGCCACGGATGAAAATATTCAGTAAGAGATCAGCATCTAAGCTAGGAACTGAACTGTTATGTCAGTGGTTATGGTATTTGATACACCGCCAAATAATCTCCATAGGGGTATGCCAATGCTATTTGCAACAGCATCAATCAGTGCCATTTCAACTCCTGCCCTAACCTTCAACCACACATACAGCTCAATGAGGATTTGACTATCATTGTCTAACTAGATAAAACCTTTAATGAGAATGAAAACTGGATAGAGAAATACAAACAGATTTGGTAATCATTGATTACAACATTAATAAGTCTGCTTACACTGTAAATATATGTAGTCATATTGTGCTTGTGTGTGTATATTTCCTGGCAGAAAGGATAGAACTTGGATTACTGTAGCATCACAGTAGAGTTGCAATTCTCAAGGGACTTGAGTACTTCCACTGACTTCCATATGAGAAAAGTCGAGCAAAGTGTATAAAATGTAACTGGAACTCCAACCTCACTCCCTACTAATCAAGAAAGAGAGCGTTCCATCTTGAAATAAAGGACTTTTTTTTCTTCCCGTTTCCCCAAATTATAGTACTTTCAAGTTTCAACCTCCAAAAAAAAAAAAAAAAAAAAAACAGTACTTTCCTCCTCTCAGTCCAAGAAAACAGTAACATAGTAGAATTGGGCCTGGAAGCATCAAATTTCTTTACTTTATCTCATAACTCCAATCATTAGACTTAGTTATTTGGGAAGTAATTCCAGTTAAGTTTAAATTTGAAATAAGTCTATAAAGTTTAGTTTGAATAATTAAGCAACTTATAAGTTAAATCTATCAACTAGAAAACCTGGGAAAATACAGGAATCATCAACACGAAACTTCAAATAGCACGGAAGGTTTAAACGTTGCACAAGCAATAATCACTGACCAACAATCATAGAATCCATAATCATCCACAGAAGAACAAGGAAGATTGAAAAATAAAAAAATCAATCCACACTCACTGAAGCAAACTCATGTCCTGGGAGAAGCCCACCAATTTCTGCTAGCACCGAACCCAAGGTCATGGGCTGACTCCGCCTAAGAAACTCGCACACCTCCCCTGCCTTCACAAGCGCCGTTTGCTGATCCTCGGCAGTCACAAATGGGAGGATCGGCGCCTCACCCCACCCCACACACCCGTTATTCAATTCCACCCTGATGGCCACATTCTCCACTTTGTCCAGCCTGGATGAAGCAATTACGAAGGGCGCGATCAGGGGGACGTTCAAAGGCCTCCCTTCTGCTCTCTGGACATCGACCGAGACCGTCTCCATCAAAGTTTTGAAGCCAAAGTTCGTCACTGTGCTGGTGTGCACCGGCGAAGTTGTCATGGATTTACCGGTACCGGAGATGGCAACTATGTCAATCTTTGAACGAGGCCAAGACTGTCTTGTGGTCAGGAAAGTTGGAAACGAAGAAGAGAAGAGAGGGGTAGATGAAGAGAGACCCAACACAATGGGATCCATTTGCGTTGAAGCCTCGATGATTCCTCGGGTGGTAGTGATGGCGATTATGGTTTTGAAGTTTTGATTGGCAATAGTAAGATTTGAGAGTAATATTGAGAAGGAAGAAAGCAGTCATTACCCATTATGTCATTTGTCTCATAAAATAAAAAAAAAATAAATAAATAAAAGTTATAGTGGAATCGTTCAGATTCTCAGAAGAAGATGCCTCTTCCTGTCTCATCTATCCTTGTACTGAACAGTTGCGGAGGAACACATCCTACTGAATAAAATAGGTTTGATCACACATGTTGCAACTTGTTGAATAAAAACAACGGAGAAATACGGATACACCCAATGCAATGCAGACATTTTATTACAACTTACCGACATTTTAAATATATATTATTCACTCTATGATATTGAGGGCAGTTCTTTTCTACGCTGTGTTAGCTTTTCTTCCTATGTATCAAACAAAGAAAAGAAAAAGAAAAAAAAAAACCGTCTGATGATTGAACTTCAAAAAGAATTCATAAAACCATCTATTCAAATTTCTTTAAAAATCTAAAACTTAGTTTTACACATTATTGAATATTCACTCAACCAATCTCAATTTTATGGTGCGCAATCCGACCACAGTCAATGATAAATTCGGACGATCTGCAAGATTCGAGTCAGAGAATCTGGGGTGGTTCATCGGTGAGGTCACTTCGATGCTTAAGTTAATACTTGGTTGCGAGCTGAAAATAGCTTAGGATGCAAGAGAGCAGAGATTATGCATACCTCTCACCCGCGAGGGGTGAAGCCTTTATATACTAGTGCCCTAACGGGTTCGGTGGAACAATCCCGGGATTTTCGCTATATCAGGATCCGTTCCGTTTTAGTTGGGGATAATGCCACCAACCGGTAAGGTTGTCCATCTCCATCTGAATCGGGGAGTGGGTAGACGAAACTAGCCGTTACAAGGTACGATCCCGTGAAAAGCGAAGCACGGTGATGGGACCCTCTAGGCAACAGCACAGTGGTCGGTCAATATTACCCGAGCTAGTGTTCTTTAGGTTCGACCTGATATGAACGTTGAACTGCTATGGAACCAAGGTGGTCTTGATGCGACCTCATACCTAGGTGGCCTCGTCCCGAGGTAGACTTATCCCGAAGTGGTCTTATTCGAGGTGGTTTGGTTAACCGAGCTCGATTCGCCGCGGACTTGGCGTGTCAGGCTGAGTTGTTGTCCTATTAGTGATGTCGTGTCCACGTGTACCCTTATTACTAGCTCGGGCCAAATCACCCTACATCAATTGCCCCCCACTCCCTGGGCCAGGGCTCCCGACCCGGTGCGGAGAGTTCATGACGAGCCAAGTGGATTTGGTCCGAAGTTCAGGCAGCTAGTCAGATGAGTCACCGGTCGGATTTGTTCGACCACACGGCTTGACCAGAAAAAACCCAGGTTGCGTCTGCATACACGCGGACGTCACAGGGTCTATAAATTCCGCGGACGTCAAAAAATGCGCTAAACCGATTTCAGCCTCGGGGGTCGCGCAACCAGTTTTTCTAGGAGCCGTCGGATCAGTTTGATCTCGACCGTTACCTTTTCGGACATAGCGGTTATAATAAGGGGGCCCGAGACTTGTTTTTTTCTCGCCATACCTTCTCAAGCCTACTTTGAGGTCGCGTCGGAACCCCTCAGCTCGCCACCCCTTCTTAGCTTTCCGAGGTCTCTTCCTTCTTTCCTTGGCGAGTTCGCAATTTTCTTAAGTTTGTATTTTCTTGGTTTAAGTATGTCTAGCTCTAGTTTAGACAGCCTTTTAGGTAGTGAGGTCGAGGGTGCCGCCGTGCAAACCGCGGCCCCTTCGGGGGAGGCCAGCTCGTCGCTGAGTGACTCCCCTCTTCGATCTCTGGAGGGGGCTTCGGTGCCCGAGGATGAGCCATCTCGGCTCGGGGAGATCGGGGTTCAGGAAGAGAGATCGTCCTCTAGAATAGAGGCCCCATCTTCTTCCCGAGATCGGGACCCAAATGACTTCGGTCCTTTAACTAGGACCTCGGACAGACTGATGTCCTTGGTAGCTTGCTATTGCCTTCCCGGTAGCTTAGTTTTTAGCCTTCCTTTAGGTCAGTTCCCTTGGGTTCATGATCACCATGAGCTCGCTGTTTTTGAGGAGCAGCACGCTGCCGGGCTGCGCTTCCCTCTCCACCCCTTCATTGTAGAAATAATTAAGTTCTTCAATATCACTATCTTCATCCGAATTCAATTCGGAATATTGTTGGTACAATCTCCCTTTTCCACGAGTACAACCGCTCCCTGTCCTTAAACACTTTTAGCTCGATCAGTGCCATTAAGAGGAACTCGGCTTGTCTGTGTGGGGATGTTAGACAAAGCTACTACATTTCTCCTCGGCCTAGGTTCAAGATACTGCTCGGTTGCCTGAACAAGGTTCCGGCCTGGAAAAGGAGGTATTTCCTCGTCCAAAATCCCGAGGGGTGGCCTTTTTCGACTCACTGGAGGGTGGCAATCAAGGATCCTGGGGTGAGACTGGATGCGGAGACTAGGGCAGTCATCAACTCCTGGAGGGACCTCAGCCTCAGAATGAAGGATTTCCTGGCCGAGGACAAGCTTGTGCGAGCCGGGCTGAGCCCTCCTGGTAGGTTTCCACCTTAGTTTTTTATTTTAAGGTTCTGATTAGTTCGCGACTAACCTTCTACTTTTTGCAATTACCATGCCGGAGGTCGATGCCAGGAATCTTTTCAAAAGCATGTAGAAGGGGAAGAAGAGGAGGGCGAAGAAGCCTCGTTGGGAGGCCAGCCCTTCAACCCCTGCCCCGTCCGAGGTCCACACCGCGGAGCCGATCTCCACCGAGCTCCCCCAGGAGGGGGTCCACCCTCATCCTCCCATGGTGGACCTGGACGAAAGATGAGGGAAGTGCTCGGCTGCAGGAACCAGGGAGCACCCCAGCGCCTAAGCCGGAAGTTGCTCAGCCTCCCGAGCCGGTGAGCACTTCCAGACCCCGACACGAGCCTCCGAAAAGGAGTATCCTGACTCACTAGTTCAGGATTCGCAAGAGCGAAGAGGCCATCTTCTCCGAGGAGGTCGCGGATTGGGCCGATATGCCTACGGCTCGGCTCGGGGGTCGGGCTGCCAGCCTCTGCATGGTGGTAGGTGCTTTTACTTTACATTTTTGTTTCTTTGTGAATTTTTCAAAATGTACTTACCTCGATTTTTCCTTGCTAGGTGAACTCCTCCATTCATGCACCGATGTGTCAGTCACAGATCCATTTGAAGCAGTTTAAGGATGCCAAAGAGGAGGCACAGAAACTGCATCGCGAACTCGATAAAGCTCAGGGCGAGGTGCTCCAGGCCAAGAAGGGAGCTTGAAGTTAGAAGGAGCTAATTCTGGCTTTAATTGAGGAAAAAGAGAAACAGCAGGAGCGGATCTCCGCGTTGACTGAGGAGAACTCGGCGTTGATCGAGGAGAGAACGAGGCTTCGACGAGAAGTTGAAGATCTCAAAGAGATGATTCAAAAGCGAACTCGGATCTTCGAGACTGCTGTTGAAGAGGCACGAAGCCAGGCTGTTGAACACTTCAAGCAATCTTCGGAGTTCCACGATCTCCAAGTTGAGTATGGTTCGAGCTCCCCGACCTCAATCTCAAAGTCGTCTCCGCATCTGACCTTACTCCCGAGGATGCAGAGGTAGCAAATGCAAAGCCCAGCTCGTCAAAGGAAGGGAGTGACGACGAAGTCCAGGAGGAGTGCCCCTCGAATGCGGAAGATCATATGGAGACCGATCCAGCTGACAGTCAACCATGATCTTTGAGCTTTCTTTTCTTGTTTTGAATGTACACCCCGAAGCCGTCGAGCTTGGGTTAGAACAAAATCTCTGTACCTACACTTTTTTGTGAATGAAATACCAATCCTTTGAGTAATCATTTGTGTAAAAGACATTCTAAGCACAGATAACTTCCAATCTAGGCAACAAATGTGTAGATTACCTGAATTGTCGAGCTACCGAGTTGGACAATAAGTAAGGATAATCGTAATAGAAAATTTTCTAAGTGTTTGTTACCTCGAAATGTCTGCAAAGGCTTAGTAGGGGCAACTCCACATAATGTACGCCGAGGTGAGTGATATCGCGGGGCATATACCCGTCCTGTCCACGCACAGGCTACTTATTTGAATGCCGGATGTCCTTTACGGATCCGACCTGCTCTTATGTGCCGCAGTGGGCTAAACATCGTAGGGCTTATACCCGAGCTGTCTATGCCTCAAGTATTCGAAGCAACTTGCCTACGACTGCGAGGCAACCAGGTCTTAGATGCCCATGCCAAGAAGGCGACTGGGTCTTATGCAGTATTGTAGCCCTTAGGCTTTGGGAGCGACTCGTAGTCCACTCCCCTAGTTTGACGATCACAGGTAGTATCACCTTAAATTACTAATGTTCCAAGCTCGAGGTACCTATTTTCCTTCTAACGTTTCGAGCTCGTACGTACCTTCCCCGAGTACCCGCTTTACTCGGTAGGGAGCTTCCCAATTTGGTCCGAGCTTACCAACACCAGGCTCAGGCACCATAACCTTCCGAAGGACTAGGTCTCCGACACAGAAGTGTCGCTTCTTGACCTGGGCGTTATAGTACCGAGCTACCCTTTGCTGGTAGGCTACGGTCCGAATATATGCGAGGTCCCGTACTTCTTCTACCAGGTCGAGGTTAGTATGGAGCTCGTCATCATTTGCTTCTTTGTCAAATGCCTCTAGGCGTAATGTAGGTACTTCGATCTCGGCTGGAATTACTACTTCCATGCCATAGGTGAGGTTGAAGGGGGTTTCACCTGTGGCGGTCTTGACAGTAGTTCGGTAAGCCCATAGTACACTGGGCAGCTCGTCTACCCATAGACCCTTAGCTTGGGCTAAGCGAGCTTTTAATCCATGAAGTATAGCTCTATTCATGACTTCCGCTTGCTCGTTTTCTTGAGGGTGTGCTACCGAAGTGAAGTTTTGTTGTATCCCCATCTCGGCACACAAGTTTTGAAATTTGATATCTTCAAACTGCTTACCGTTGTTGGAGATGAGGACCCGAGGTAGGCCGAAGCGACATACTATGCTCTTCCAAAAGAAGTTTTGTACATTTCGGGCTGTGATTGTTGCCAGGGGTTCCGCCTCCACCCACTTTGTGAAGTAATCCACTGCTACTACCAAAAATTTCCTCTATCCTGTCGCTGGCGGGAATGGTCTAAGAATGTCGATTCCTCACTGTG